GCTGCCCCTGTGGTAGGGGCGGTGGGTGTGAGGGAGGGCGGTTGCCAGGAGAAGTAGACCTTGCCAGGCCCCCATCTCCCCTCAGCACCCCGGCCCCTCCCCCTGCACTTCCTGTAATGGCGTCTCCGATGTGGAGGCCATTAGTCCTGCTCAGGGCAGCGCCTAAGTACTGTGGCTGATAAATATAACATGAGCTCATCGATTAGAATCCTCTAGTCCTGCAGTAACTCAGCTCCCTAGTGGCTCCCGCTCCCCTGCGCACACTGACTGGCCACCCCACCCCGATGCGGGGTGCTTTTCTTGCTTACTTGGGGGCCGTGAGGCAGCTGCGGCTAGAGGAGCGAGTGAGCTGATAGAGGCAACACCCAGCGCCCAGTCAGAGGGGCTGCTGCTTGGAGACGGGCTGGACCAGTCTGGGCGAGTCTGGGCCCTAAGGCACCTTGGAAGATCCTCTGTCAGCTGGGGGAGCAAGGGGAGGCATGACCCTGGCCCAGCACACAGGCCATAATGCCCTCCGTGGGGTGGATGGCACAGCTCTCCTGAGTCGGGGCTCTCCTGGTGACTGTTGAAAGAGGTCCGCAGTGAAACCAACTTACACCCTGTCACCACACCTTCTCCCCTGGCAGCTGCCACCACCAGCCCCAGCCACAACTATCCCAACCCAGCCCAGCAGTCCCCTCCCTGTCTCCCCCATCCTGATGTTCCCACCTTCATTTCACGCATCTCCAGAGGTGACCATACTCCCTCGTCAGATTGGGAGCCCTGAGCAAAGGGGCTGTGTCTCCCCAATTAGTCTGGGACCCTCTGAGAAGCTGAGACTTTCTTCTCTAGGGTAGGGAGGGGTATGAAAGTCTTGAGCTATCTCCCCAAACCTCCAAATCCAGACTGGGAACTGCAGACGGTGGGGTGTACCCTCCATAAGGTAGTCAGACCAATTAGACCTTTGGACTTTGCTAAGTATAACTGCTAGGAGCTGAGACAGCAAAACCAAGACAGCTCTGCACACCTTCCCCCAACCTGAGACCCCTCAAGTCTCTGGCCAGCTGCTCAAAGACATCTGGAAGGTCTCGGCAAGAGGCACAGGAACAGCTCCTACGTGGGTGCCAGTGGGGGCTTTGGTGAGTTGGTAGGGGCCCAGGCCTGGAAGGGGGCTGTGGTTTTTCAGAGCTGAGTCTCTGGGCAGAGGCTGCCCACAGAATCCTCTAACAGGAAGGCTGAGCCAGGCTGTCTGCAGCCAGGAAGTTAATCCTTAATGTGCCTCTGGCCTCAATGCTGTGCAAACTCACCACTTAAACACTCCAGGCTGATGGGGATGAGCCACAGAGCCCACACTCCTCCAGGTGGTGTTTGGTACCACGGCAATCTGAGTTCCAGGAATGCTGTGTGTGCTTTGGAGGTGCCTGTCTGCTACAGTGGTTTTTTATGAGAGCAGTGGGTGTGCACGAAGCCAGGAATGGGTTCAACCCATTCTCTGCTGTGTATCCCCCCACCACCACCACCTCTGTGTCTCTCTTAAGCCTCTGGTAGGCACTCCAACAAAGAAGTGTGGGGTTTTTGCAGGTTGGAGGTTTGAGCACCGTTCTTCCCTCCCACATGTGTAGTTACAGCTGTAGAGATTGTGGCTAGATTGCAAGATGAACTTTCTCATGTGTGCTGGGTAGGAGACTAGAGTAAGCATCCTTCAGGGAAGCTAAGGATTCCCCTTTGAATAAATTTCTGGAAGGGAAATTGACTCTGGGAGAAATGGATGAAAGCATGGTAAGGGGTTGGACAGGTAGGTTATGCTTCCAAGATGTCCTTGCTCTAGCCACCATAACAAAATACCATAGACTGGGGGGCTTAAACAACAGAAATTTATTTTCTCACAGTTCTGGAGGCTAGAAGTCCAGCCATTTTGGTTTCTGGTGAGACCTCTCTTCCTGGCTTGCAGGTGGCTTTTCTTTGGTGCATGTGTGCAGGAGGCCAGAAAAGTGACAAATTCTCTGGTGGCTCTTTTTATAAGGGCACTAATCCTATCAGATCAGGGCCCCACCCTTATGACCTCATTTAACCTTAATTACCTCCTTACGGGTTATATATATATTATCTCCAAATACGGTGACATTAGAGGTTAGGGCTTCAACATACGAATTTCCAGGTGGGACACAATTCAGTCCACAACTCAAGGTGAGGAATCTCCTTTTTTTTCCCCACATTGCACCCCCATTTAAAAACAGTATTTATTTATTTATTTGGCTGTGCTGGGCCTTTTTTTTTTTTGGCTGCATTGGGTCCTCGTTGCTGCGCGTGGGCTTTATCTAGTCGCAGCAAGAGGGAGCTACTCTTCCTTGCGGTGCGCGGGCTTCTCACTGTGGTGGCTTCTCTTGTTGCAGAGCTCGGGCTCTAGGTGTGCGGGCTTCAATAGTTGCAGCACGCGGACTCAGTAGTTGTGGCACGCAGGCTCAGTCATTGTGGCTCGCGGGCTTAGTTGCTCCATGGTATGTGGGATCTTCCCGGACCAGGGATCGAGCCCGTGTCCCCTGCATTGGCAGGCGGATTCTTAACCACTGCGCCGCCAGGGAAGTCCCACGCACCAGGCCTTAGTTGCGGCACGTGGGATCTTCGTTGCTGTGTGCACAGTCTTCTTTGCGGTATGTGGGCTCTTAGTTACGGCAGGCATGTGGGATCTAGTTCCCTGACCAGGGATTGAACCCGGGCCCCCTGCGCTCAGAGTGCAGAGTCTTAACTCCTGGACCTCCGGGGAAGTCCCTGCACCCCCATTTTTGAAGATGATCTAGTTCGGATTTCCCCTTCCAACTCTCTCCCAGCCCACCGCACCTCCTGGGAGGCCCACACACCCGATCCCACCCCTACTCCCTCCTTGCCAACATTTTCTTCTCCAGCTCTCTGTGGCCTGGGCCTGGGCTAGAGCAGCCAATAGGCCTGTTCCCTCAATAACCTGAATTCAGCCCCCAGCCCAGGCTATAATTAGCCTTGTGCCTCAAACACTGGACAAAGCCACTTTCCAAGGAGCTAGTGGGGACAGAGTTGAGAGGGGGCTGTCCTTCCTGCCCCTGCCCCTTCCTGACATGGATACCCCTCCGTTGCCCTTCTGGAGTTACCAGGAATGCTGTTCACAGGGCCATGGGCTGGGACTTCGTGTGACTTGCATTCTATTTCTAGTTTCCTCCCTGGGAAGGGAGTTCTGAACCCCCTGCTCCAGTCTGAATGGACACGTTCTGGAGTTTTCCTTTCATGTCCTCGCTGTGCATCAGAATCATTTCGGAAGCTTTAAAATTGTGGATGCCCAGGCCCTACTCCTAAACATTCTGATTTAATTGGGCTGGGGTGAGTCCCTGGCATCCTTTTTTTCTTTTAAAAACCTCTCCAGATGACTGTAAATGTGCAGCTGGAAGGCAAACCACCCTTCTAGATCCTGTCCACTCCTAGTGTGGCTCCTGGATCAGCAGCAACAGCGCTAAGGGGGAGGGGAGGCTCATTAGAAATGCAAATTATTAGGCCCCGCCCCAGCCTGCTGAATCAGAATCTGCATTTTCTTTTCAACTTTTTTTTTTTTTTTTTTTTTTTTTTTTTGTGGTACGCGGGCCTCTCACTGTTGTGGCCTCTCCCGTTGCGGAGCACAGGCTCCGGACGCGCAGGCTCAGCGGCCATGGCTCACGGGCCCAGCTGCTCCGCGGCATGTGGGATCTTCCCGGACCGGGGCACGAACCCGTGTTCCCTGCACCGGCAGGCGGACTCCCAACCACTGCGCCACCAGGGAAGCCCCAAAATCTGCATTTTAACAAGATCCCCAAGGGATTCTAAAACAGGCTAAAGTTTGAGAGTCACTGTTCTAGAACCTTCCAATGTAAGTGGGCAAGACTCCAGATCCGTGCTTCTAAGTTGTGGGTAGACAAGGGTTTCAGTCAGGCTGAGCAGCCAGAGCTTCCGGTGCTCATCCTCCCTGTCTCGGCTCTATTCTTAGGAGAGGATTCTGATTTCTTGGGAGGGTCCACCTCTCCCAGGTCTAAATCATGATTCAGAATGGTGTCTAGGTCTTTCCTTCACTCTCCCATGTGTCCTCACGCTCATACATGTGCGTGCACACACACACACACACACACACACACACCCCAGATCTCAGCCCACACCCTCAAGGCAGGCAGGATCTCCATTACCCACAGTCCATGCTCAGAGAGCCCCAGAAATGTGTCGACTTCATTTCCACAAAAGAGCTGCCCACTTTCTCCTTCAACATCAGCAAAAGGCTCCCATATTTCCCGTGTAAGAAACCCCAAGGTCCCCAATCATCAGACTGTGTGCACACAGTCTCACGTCCAACCGAAATTCTCAGGATCTACTTTACTTTACTAAGATGGTCTTAAATGTAATTTGTGTCTTGCCTTTACTTAAAACCCTTCATGGGTTACCCTTGTCTGTAAGACAAAACATCAAGTCCTGGGAGGAGCATCAAGGTCCTGCCCGTGTAAGAGCCTCACCTCCTGCTGCTAACCTGCCCCACACTCAATACTAGAGCCAGACCCAGCTCCTTCTGCCTGCAAAACACACGCTGCTCCCTTGGTGATCCCTTGTACAAGAGCATTGCTGTTCCCTTGCTGGACTGGCTTTTATCTCTTCTTTGCCTATCTCCCTGACAGGTTCCTATTTTTCCTTCAAGTCCCAGATAAGGTCACCTCCCCCGGGAAGCCTTCCTTAATATTCCAGGCACAGTAAGTGGCTGTCTGTACAGGCCCTTCTCCCAGCACCTGTTACATTGTCTCTCCACCTCTATCTCTTCCACTAGTATCTTCAAGGGAAGAAGCAGTCCCGTTCATCTTTGTAACTTTGGCATCTTAGCCCAGCACCTGGAAAGGAGTAGGCAGTAATAGCTAACATTTACTGAGTGTTCATTCTGTACTAGGCACCATACAAACCACTTCCTATATATTATATCGTGCATTATTCACAACAACCCTACGAAACAAGTACTTTTATCACCTGCATTTTATTGATGTGGAGTCTGAGGCTCAGAGAGGTGAAGCAACTTGCCAATGTCACACAGCGAATCACGGCAGAGCTGTGATTTGGACTCAGTCTGTCAGGCTCCAAGGCTCACATTCTTTACCACTGCACTCCACAGAGCTCCTCAGATGGATGACGGAATAAATGAATGAACAACTTCATGACTCCCACGTAGGAATTTCCTAGAAATCAAACCTCTTCGTCAACAGATTCTTCTTCTTCGTTGATACCAATCTCATCTTTCTGTCCTGCTTGTTAGCAAGAACCCTTTGTAGGAGTCAAGCAACCATTGGTCCCGGCACAGCTGGCCTGGTGCAGGGATTAGGGTGTCATTCCCTGGCTTCTGCTTCAAGTGAATGACTCTCAGGGGTCAGACTGCTTGGGTCCAAATCCTGGCGTGCTACTTCCTACCTGTGTGATCTTGGGCAGGTTACTTCACCTCTTGGGGACAGTAGTGGCCCTAGGCTGTGAGAGGACTAAATGAGGTGATGTTGTAAAGGCCTGGCCCGTAGGGACAGCGCAGTTCATGTTAGCTGGTGAGCTAAGGCCCGAGGGGAAACGGAGCTGCTAGGGGAAGGTAGACTTCCTGGTTCAGACTTACCTTCATCCTGCCAGAGGTAAGGGAGGTGGCTACTTGGATGACGGGAGAAGGCTGACACACAGTGTTGGAATTCCTTTCCTTACGCTGAGTGGGGTTGAGTGAAGCCATCGCTGCTCCCCGATTAATTCAGGAAGACCCGAGGGGAGGAGGGAGATTTTGAGAATGATGGCGATGTTGTCCAAGAGATGGTCCAGGGGGCTGAGGATTGAGGATGTGGGGGCTACCACATGCTCCAGCAGACTCTCTCCCTTGGGTGGCTGCCTGCCCGGCCTCCCCCTCCCCCCACAGCGCTGTGGGTGCTGTATGCAAACCTGGAGGTGACCCTTGCCCCATCCCAGCCTCATGCCTTCCTTCTTGGCCCTGTTGGCACCATTTCCTGGGTGGGCACCAAGAGGACAGAGAGCAGGAAGAGGGGACCTTTGTGCAAGCCCCCAGCGACAACGGCTCCTTGGGTCAGGGCCAGGCCGAGGGGCCAATGCCCAGCCCCCTCCCCTCGTCCTTCCCTGCCCTGTGAGGAATGTGTCCTCGGAGGCTCACCAGATTGGCGGTCGGTTCCGGTTCACAGAGGGGGCTGTGTCCTGCCACCCGTCCCCTCTGAAGCCCCCATTGTCAGGCCGGGGGGTGGGGGGTGGGGGGCAGGGCGGGAGCATGTCTCAAAGGCCCAATGTTCTCAGAGGTGGGAAGGCCGAGGGGCCTCCCGGAAGGACCAGGCCATGGGACACCTGGCTCTTCTCCACCTCTGCCCCGAGCCCTGGCTGGCCAAGAAGGGTGCCCAGAAGTGAGACAGTGGCGGGGGCATCCTCTGCCTGCCTGCCTTGTGCCAAGCTCTTCCCTAAGCCTGGCAGACAGGCTAGAGAGGATTAGGAAAACAAAACACAAGCAGATGGTTAAAATAATACAAGCCAACTTTATAAAGTTCTACGGAGGACCAGGTGTCCTGCTGTGGGTTTTACAGCCATCACAGCCCACCTTGAAGTAGATGTGATTATTTTCGTCCTCCCTACATTGCAGATGAGGGACGAGGCTCAGAGATATCAGGCAACTGCCCAAGGTTACACAGGCAGTGAGGGCAGAGCCAGCTGAACCCGGAGAGCCCACGTCCGCAATGACTCTGGGAACCAGGGCCAGAAGAACACTTACAGGGGAGACTAAGGTAGATGATGCCCATTTCCACCCTGAGATAGTCCCCGAGGCACCTCTAAGGAGCCCACAGTTCTCCCGATCACAGATGAAAACCCTGTTCTAAATCTTCTCCCAGGATCCTGCCCTCAGGGGGGTCTCCAAACCACAGCTCTTAGATTGGTTTAGTCTGGGACCCACTTGGGGCCAAAGGACAATGGACTCACCTGCCCGCCTGTCCGCCTTTACTGCAGCTCCACCAGATTCTACCAAAGGCCCCTCCAGGCTGGGTGGAAAGTACTAGTGCATTTTTTCCTTGGGCTCGAGGCCAGCACTGCTGGAGGAAATAGGGACCCTGAAAATAAAGCACAAGATGTCACTGATGGTTTTGATAAAAGCACCAGGACTCACTCATCAAACCACGTGTGGTCCCTTTCAAAGCCATCTTCCTAGGAACCCCCTCAGGTTTTGGGAAACTCTTGCTCTGGGCCAGCCTTAGAGCTAGCAGCTCAGGCTTCTGACTCTTCAGAACAAAGGCAAAGCTTCCTGCTGTGAGGGGTGAACTTGAGTTTGGGGGCCCCTTGAGTCCAGCGTGGTGAGTGAGAGGTAGTACCTCCAGCCGGACAGGTGAGCATCGCGCAGCACACAGCCAGTGAGCAGGCACTGACCCAAGGCGCAGTGCCGGGCTGGGGTAGGGGTGGGAGGGCCCAAAGATGACCAAGGGATCCGGGTTACTCGCTGTTCAGTGGGGAAGAAAAGACCCAAGCAGTCCAGGGCAATGTGGACAACACATGTGGGGCCTCCTGCAGGGCAGGCCTTCCGTGCACAGGGGGCCCCAGGACAAGGGGAAGGGTGGAAGAAGTGCCACCATGAGGTTCAAAATTGAGTACACCTCAGAGATTATCACCAGCACGTGGAGAAGGGCTTATAAAATCCAGGATGGCTTCCTGGAGGAGGCAGGCTTTGTCCTGAGCTTAAAAGAATGAATAGGATTTGGACAGAGTTAAATAAGAAGGGGATTCCAGGTAGAGAGGACAAGCTGGTTGGTACTATTTTGACTAAAATAAATCAATAGATAAAACAAACCCTAGCCTAGCACAATTGTCACAGGAGGGTGGAAGGCCCTCTAAAGGCACATTTAAAGTTCTGGCTGAGGACTTAGACCTGAGTTTACATCCAGCCTCAGTCATTTACTAGCTGTGTGTCCTTGGGCAAGTGACTTAATCTCTTCCAGCTTCGGTTTCTGCTTTCTGAAAGATGAAGTTAATAATAGTGGCTTCCAGCTAGGATTCTTTGAGCATGAAACAAGTTCTCAGAAGCAGACACTCAATGACTGGCCTGTGGTAAGGGCCCAGCCAGTGTCAATTCTTGTGACAATGGCAACATCTCCTTAAGAGGCTCCTAAAGAGACCAGAAGAGTTAGTTCTCAAACACAGATCCCCAAGCTATTCTGAGCCACGGAAAAGATGTGAGATGCCACTTGCCCAGCTCCCCAACACGGCTATCGAGGGAGGGGATGACCCCTCGTGGGTTCCACCCTTAGCATATGGTCCCCATGGGTGACTTCTGCTTCTAATTGGTCAGTAAATCCTACAGATTCCTCTAAAATGATTCTCCCACTCTTCCCTCTCTCTATGTCCAACACCAAAGCAGCAGCCACCTAAGTGGTCTCCCTGTCCTGGTCTCTCCTCACCAAACCTCATCCTCCCCATGGCCCCCAGAGCAGAGTAGATCAAGCCTCTCTCCAGCTCAAAAACCTCCCATTGCCTGGAGAATGAAATCCAACTCCTTAGCCTAGCACCCAAAGCCAGTCCTCCACAATCCGGCCCCTGCCTGCCTTTCCAGCCTCCTCTCCCACCAGCCACATGCCGGGCCCTGCAGTCCCATTAAGCCAACCACCTCCAGGTCCCTGGATGGCTTTTGTGCAGCCCTGCCTTGGAGCCTTCTTTTACAAGCAGCCCTGACTTCCCCTCTGCCTGGAATGTCCTTTCTCCCTTCTCTGATGGTTAAATCCTAGACATGCTTCAAGGCCCCTCTCAGACAGCTCATCCTCCCTGGAGCCTTCCCAGACTCTATTCCCCAGCAGGAACCATGGTTCGCTCACGGCCATCTCCTTCTATAACTGGCTGTGGAGCGTGATTGAAGGCTGGGGCCGCACCCTGCAGCTGCCCAGAATGACTGTTGGGGACCTCTCACTCTCAGGGCAGAGATCACTGCTGAAGAGATGCTCTACCCAGCAGCCCCCTTGAACAGAGCAGGGTGGGGCTGCAGAAACCTCCACGGAGCCTTGGCGTGGATGCCAGCAGCCCAGATAGAGCCCAGGCAGCGGCCTTGGCGCAGCTCTGCTGCCGGAGGTCAGAGTGAGACAAACGGCAATTAGCCGCGCACAGGCTGGGCTCCCAAGGCTAATTACCAATTAGACGGGGCCGGGGATTAGCGACATGAAAGAGACAGTCAGCAAATAGTCACTGGCGAGGCAAAGTGGAAGGCTGGGGGTGGCGTCTCTGTCGCTGCAGCAGGCCTGGCCTGCTAGTGGTCAGTGCAGTCCTGTTCTCAGGGATGAGAAGGTTTTCAGCAATGGAGGAGCTGAGCCTCCTAGGGGAGCTTGGGCAGATTTGCCTTCTTTTCGATTCCCAGAATCAAAGAGAGTGTGGCTCAGAGCCTGTGTTTCTAATGGGTGTGGGGTGATCAGTGATGAGTGATTTGACACCCTTGGCCAGGTTGGCCCAGGAGGACCTCGCAGCAGTTTGGAGTCTGTACCCAATGGGCCACATTTGTGTCTGGAGCATGGCCGGGCTGGAGGAAGGAGTGGGGAGGGAGGGTGGGAGGCCGATAGCTTCCTTCCTCCCATCTCTTGACTCAGCACTTCGCTACCTCTCAGTCTCCTCTACCCCCTCCCCCCTACCCTCTGCTCATTTTCTCTTTTCTTTTCTTTCCTCCTCCCTCAGCCCCGCCTCTCCATTGCTCGCTGTCTCTGGCTCTGGCTCCCTGGGTCTCACCCTTCCTCCTCCCTGAGCTCCATAGGCCACAGGTCCTGCTTCACCTGGGGTGGGGCCTCCACCACTACAGGAAGGATTGAGACCAAGCAGATACAGTGACTTCCTGGCCGCCAAGACCAGGCCACTCCGGGCTGAGCTGTCCAGGGTGGGAATGGGGAATGGGCCTCCCTCGCTTTAGGAAGTTTGGGGAGAAATAGTGATTTCTGTGAATGATCCTGCAAGGAGGCTGGATCACAGAACCCCACATCATACAGATTCAGAGCCAAAATCAAGTTCAACCTACCCCTTGGCCATTCACTTCTCTTGGGTCCCTGGTCTGCTTAAAGCCTGGTGGGCCCTGCTGGGCCAGGAGGCCCAAGCTGCTGAAATGGCTGGCGCCAAATCTGCCCACCTTACAGGCCCACATGAGCCTCCACAGGCTGGGCCTGTGTGGTGGTGATGGGCGCACTGGGTGGGGGATTGGGCATGGGCAGACCGCTGCAAACGTCTCAGCCACCATCTGTGGAGTTTGTGTTGTAGACCAGACCCTCTGGGGCCCACAGAGATTAGAAGGAAAGGATGCCACTCTCCCCAAAAGGGGGACTCAGGTGGCGGTGGGAGAGGAGAGGAATTCAGTGAGGAAAGAGAATTCAGTGAGAGGAGGGGGGTTCCATAAGGTGAGGCATTCAATGAGGGGGAGAGGATTTCATTACAGGAGGGGGCTCTAGTGGAAGATGAGGGCTCAGATCTGGAAACAGGCTAAGAACGCAGACCTGGCCAAAAGACCTGGTTTGTGCATCTTTGTTAACCTCGGCAGCACCAATCGCAAGCACACTCAGACAGGAGATCAAAGCCTCTGGGGCCTCCGCCCAGTGTGGGTGGGGCTCCAGGAGCTACCCCTGCCCCCAGGGACAGGTGCCACAATCCCACTTCCCCCTGTTGTCGCTATGTCCGGAGCCCCCTGGAAGGTGGTGAGTTTCTGGCTCAATAGTTCCTGGAAGGAAAGAATAGAGCATCTGCTGGCAGGAATGTAGAAAGAGGAGAGGAGGGGCTGTCATCAATTCTACTAGGCTGTCCTGAGGACAGGGGTGTGTGTGTGTGTGTGTGTGTGTGTGTGTGTGTGTGTGTGTTGGGGAGCCTTGGGAGCGAGTAGGCCTGTGTGAGCGAGGATAGCAGTGTCTGTTTGGGCTATGGCTCCGTGTGCACTGTTGTGTGTACCAATCCCTTTCCCCAACAAGCAGCCCAGCGATTCTCCCTGACTCCCTCCTGCTGTGGTTCAGAAAGCCAGTGACCAGCCCAGTGGTCCACATCTCTAGGCTCTGAACTCACCCCTCAGCTATGCCAACGGGACAATGGGGCTCTTTCTGCACAAGATGGGCACGAAGGACCCTGTCATGGACTTGTGACCTGAGGGACAGTGCTGCCCCAGGGCACATCCCAGCCTTGGTCACACTTGTGTACACTGACTGGCCTTGAGCCAGGGTGGACCAAAGAGGAAGAGAGGCTCTCCTGCCTGCCTGTCCCAGGAAGGCTCCCTGGAGGAGGGGCCAGTGCTCCCCCAACCCCCGGCTCCCTGACACACCCACATCTCAGGTTCTGGTGGGTGTGCCTGGTGGGTGTGGGTGCACAGGGCTCCCCTCACTGCCAGCAGAAGCCTGAACGGGCACCTGCCCTCGAGCTGACTGTGTCCCAGAGAGCCAACACGCCAGTCCCTGTGGGTCAGCACCAAAGGGCTGAGAGACCCAGCTGGAGGGAGGGTTCAAAGCTAGGTCTGGTGGGAGAGACACCACCCTATGGGGCACTGCCCTGGGGAAAGGAGATGTGTCCCCAGCCTCCAGCCTCCGGGGAGCCTCTAATCCAATGAGACTTGGCCCCTGCCCTCTCCTTGCTAAGTCCCCTCCCTCTCTCAGAGCCCCCACCCCTCACTGAAGGAAGGGTCAGTCTGATGGGGCGGTTTGCACACACACACCCCAGAAGAGAGACCAAGACGACCCAGGGAGATGAGTGTGGTGACTGGCCTTTGAGGGTGGGAGGGGCCAGATGAGGACAGGACCCATCCCACCAACATCTCCAAGAGAAGACTAGAGGGCTTCGCATGGGGTGGAGCTGGGCAGGGAATGTAGGCAGGGAATGTCTGGGCCTGGGGAAGTACCTGGTTGGAGCTCAGAGGAGGGTGAGGTGCAGGGAAGAGCTTCTGGGGTGACTCCCTTGCCATGACGAGGAGCACCCCAAAGACTGATGTAGTGGCCAGTCTCAGCCCCAAGGTAGCCCAGACCAGGAGGAGGAAGGACACAAGGCTTTTGCCCAGGTCTCTGACGCGCGCCTAAAGCCCTTTCACATCCTCTTCCCCCTTCCCTCGCAGCCCACAGCC